TAGGTATACAAGGGGCACCTGGGTGTCTCAGTCGTTAAGCATCTGCCTTCAGCTCAGGTCATGGTCCCAGGGTCCTGGGATCGAGCCCCGTATTGGGCTCCCTGATCCGCGGGAAGCCTTCTTCTCCTTCTCCCACTCCCCCTGCTTGTGTTCCTGCTCTCGCTCTCTCTCTCTGTCAAATAAATAAATAAATAAAATCTTAAAAAAGAAAAGAAAAGAAAATAGGTATACAAAAGTATAGAAAAGGGGTGCCTGAGTGGCTTAGTCGGTTAAGCATCTGCCCTTGGGCTTGGGTCATGATCCCAGGGTCCTGGGATTGGGCTCCCTACTCAGTGGGGAGCCTGCTTCTCCCTCTCTCTCTGCCTGTCACTCCCCTACATGTGCTCTCTCTCTGTCAAATAAATAAATAGAATCTTAAAAAAAACCACAAAGGTATAGAAAAAAATCAATCATTGGCTAAAATCTTCCTATTCCACAGAGGTTACAAACTTTCCCATATAATCATAGCCTCATGCTGACCCTGAAAGCTTGGGGTGGTCATTTGACTGGTAGACAACCTGGTCTGGCTTGACTGATTTAAGGAGTGATTAATCTCAGTAGACCCATTAGTACAGAAGAAACAGAAAACACTGTCAGAAACTGTCCCTCCATTGCGCCAACCTAGGCTAGTTGGTTTTGCCCATGAAGTCTGTCAAACTATCAAGGAACCTATTTTTCTAGTTATATAAATTGTTCTAGAACACTGAAGAAATGGAAGTCATTCCAACTCTATCTATTTCATGAAATTTTCAAAGCCTGATAAAGAAGGGGTGAGAATGCAAAATATAGCCATTCTCACATATGAAAGCAGATTCAAAGTTCCTCGATGAAATATCAGCAAATTGAATCTAGTAGTGTATTACCAAAAAAAAAAAAATGCATGATCAAGTACAGTTTATTCCTGGAATGCAGGGTGGCATTATTAGAATTATCAGCTCCGATTTACAGGATATGAAATTGGGGCTCATAAAGGTTAAGTGACTCACCCAGGTCAAGCTGCAAAGTTACTGACTCAGAACTTGACTCTAGGGGCCCCTGGGTGGCTCATGCTCCTTGCTCAGCTGGGAGCCTGCTTCTCCCTCTCTGCTGCTCCCCGTGCTTGTACTCTCTCTCTCTGTGTCAAATGAATAAATAAAAATCTAAAAAAAAAAAAAGAACTCGACTCTAGGTACACGTGACTCCAAAGTCCAAAGTCATTCTCTGCCTCTGAGGAAGAGGCAAGTGGAAATGGAAACTTGGCTACAAAGTGCCCCCAAATTCCTCTATTCACCCCAATATCTGCCCCCTCCACCCCACCCCCGTCCTGATCTTGAGAGGTACTTTCCAAGCCAAGTGACAAGTTTTGGGTTCCTTTTTCTTTCAGTTTTCTACTTCCTCCCCTTCTGGGCTCCCCCACTCAGACCCCTTTCCGTGTGCTCCCCTCCTCCCTCCCTCCCTCTCTCATCAATTTTGTGGAGACGAAAGCGCCACCTATTGGCCACCTTGTATGCGCTTGACCAGGATCCATTTGGATGCTACTTGGGGCTGGGAGTGGCTTCTGCTGCTGAAAGTCACTTACTCCAGTGAGGAACCCAGTTGCTTGGTGTGGAAGAGGAAAACTGGCTGCAGTTACCACCTCGCCTGGGAGGCGCTCCCAGATCGCCCTTCCTCCTCCATTCTTCTTGGCAGCCCTTGGTAGCTGCCCCATTGTAGGGGGGCTTGGATGGGATAGGCAGTCCCAGCTGCCAAGAATTGATCTACTCTGTGAGAGGGAAATAGAGGAAAGCATGCTGGGCTGAGGTCAGAAAATCTGAGGTCTGGTCAAGCACTTAGGCAACTCCTGTCCTTTCTCTGTCTTTTACAGCCATTTGCAACACTCTCCAAGCTCTGTGACTGTGTGTTCCTCCCCAGCGGAGGACTCAGATGAATCAGACACTGTCCTGCTCAGAGGAGGCAAATATAGGTGGGTGACAATATAGTATGCAGAGTGCTGACAAGATGAGGGGGTGTGTGGTCACCTTGGTCACTCACCAGTTGGAGCCTCTGCCTTGAGCTCAGGCTCAGGCTCTTCTGAAAGAGGGAGGATGTGCCTTGCCCTCTCTGCCAGGATGATATGGCTTTTGTAACTACTGAAGCCATTGTGATGGTGGGTGAGGATATTCTACCCTGTTTCCCTCACTGGGCAGTCTCGCTAGGGCTGGGCACACTGGACTTTGGCCTGAGATACCCCTTGTCTGGACACTGGGCTTGAGGTTTCGGGGCTGGAGGAGAATTAGAGACAAGAGGTCCGGACCCTGCTTGAGGGGTACGCAGGCCCCACCTTAAGCATCAGACTGGCTTCCTGAATTGTGTAGGGACCGGGGCTTGCTGGGCTTCACAAGGAAGGCTTCCCGGAGGAGGTGAGCTCTGGTTTGGGGTTTTGAAGGAAAGGAGAAGCCAGCTATTCCAGTTTCTATGAAACACCGTTTCCTCCATCCTAATCCCTGTCTAGCCTGGCAGGCTAAAAAAGTCCACTACTTCCAAAGCAATTTAGATGGGACCAAGACAAGAGGCAGAGACAGAGAAAGATGGGCAGAAAAGAGCAAAAGGGTAAGGTAGAAAGTTTGGGGTCTTAGCTAGCAGACTCGCCTACTTCCCTGCCTGATGGGCTACAGGCCAGTGCCCATAGGCACCCACTAGATTGGGCTTAAATGTCCCTGCCTTCCACATTAGCCACCAGCCATATTTTCAGGTTGGAGTCCATAGAGAGTGTTTACCACATAGTTACAGTTTTTATTACTCATATGTTCTACATACTCAGCCTTATTCATTCAGATGATTCCATTGTTTGCTTTAAAGTATCTATTCAATTGTTGTATTGGCTATATATTTACTTGGCTTTAAAATTATAAAAGAGTATTGAGTGAAAGGTCTCTCTTCCATTTTTGTTCCCCATTTATTTGCCCCAACAAATGTTTATTAGTTTTTTATTCATTCTCCTAGATATTTTTGTTGCATATGCAAACCAAAACAAATATATTTTCTCCTTTAGAAAAACACAATTGGAAGCATAATGTTTTTACACTGTTAAGTATCTTTAATTTTTTCACTCAATGATACATCTCGGGCTCTTTCCAGATCAATGGATAAAGAACTTCTTTATTTACACAGCATACTATTTCCTTGTGAGATGTGCCATTGTTTGCTTAATCAACCCCCTGTCAGTGGACACTTAATACTGTCTCCCACCTTTCGGCCTTCCAGACCCAGCTGCAGTGAGAGCCCGTAGGTGTCCCATGTGTGCAGATATATCTGCAGGGGAAGTTCCCGGAAGTGCATTTCCACGCAGTCCCTGTCAGCACACTAAGCTCCCTGGGACCACACTGGCTCTTTTGGCAGCTGTCCACTTTTATTTCTCAAAGGGACCCTTGGTGACCATGGTCAGAATTCCACTTTCTCAAACCTCACTGCCCTCTCCCCTGTGACCTTCCCATCAGAACTTCCCACTGGGGCCCCTCACCAGATGGTTTGGCCTCTGGATCTGGGAAGCCTGGGCACTTGCCATCTCTAACCTGAGTGGGGTCTGTGCCCTGGCCATCAATCTGTCCAGAGTGATGGCTCCTTCTCCCTTTCAGTCTCCCAACCCTGGGCATCAGAGGCAGGTGTAGGAAGCTCGCTCTTCAGACCTCCACTGTTCAGGCCTCCAGGCCTCCTGCCAAATGCTGCCATCTCCCCTTCTCTGCCATCCCTCATCCCCAATTGTGACTTCCTTCTGATCATCGGGTCATGTTCTAAGATCTGCTCCTCTCTGGCCTTGGATTTCCCATTTCATTGGGAGTGGCCCTGCTTCATGGGAGGAAGTGGATGAAGGAAGATCCAGCAGCAGGCCCCCTGTGAGAGGCATGCATGTGACTAAGGGGGAGCCAAATCCACTTCGTAAAACAAGGCCCTCAGTAGCCTGGGAATGTCTGGGTTGGACCAGACCTGTGGTGTCAGCTCATGTAGCAGATGGCACCATTCTGGCTGACTGAGACAGGATGAGCAGGAGCCTGGGCAGGTCAAGACCATGCAAACATGGTTATTATTATTGCTTTGAATGGCAATCACTCACCTTTGGAATTGTAGGTAGGGCACAGTAGTTAAGAGCCCTGATTCTTGAGCCAGATTCTTGAGTTCAAAACAGGGGATGCACTTCTTACATGTCAGATAAGGAAGCAGAAGACCTGGGAGGGGCACAGGCAGGGATGAGAGGAGATCTCAGGCCCCTAGACTCAGGCTCCACTGCTCTTCTCCAGTTGCAGGAACAAACCAGGGGGAGGTGCATTCAGCAGGCAGGTTGGAGCAGGTATCCTCAAAAATGTCAAGGTTGGGAGGCCAGCAAGGATCCTCTCTGAGGCATCCTGACTCATAGTTGGCTTGTTCTAGGCATCAGGAGTCTCTATGAAGTGACAGCTAGGAAATTTCCTTGGTTTCTGTCTCCAACCCAGCTATCTGGATCCTTCACAAACAAGGACACTGGGGCTTAGAAAAGTTATTTGTTTGAGACTAATACATGGTGGAGGCATAAGCTGAACCCATCTCTAAGACTTATAGTCTGTCTGTTGTGCCTAGATTCCTATCCAGTGATCACCTAGCCATAGCTCACACATTTCCAGTGATGGGGCGCTCACTCCTATCAATGTCACCTATCACCTCTCTGAGTGACAGCCCTATTGGAAGGCTCTCCTTCCATGGAGTCACAGATATTGAGTCTCCTGACAGCCTTCAGGCTCCCTTTTGCCATGGTCTCTGTGCTCCAGGTCAGTCCTGTAGAGATTTGAAGATGGGGGCTGTGTCAACGCTGAGCCCTTTATTCTCCAGGCTAATGACCCTAGACTGGTCCTTTGTGTCTATAGGGCATCTTTCCATCCCCTCCTGTATTAATTAGGGTTAAGTTCAGTTGTGAGTAACAGACTCCACTACCACCACCACCCCCCCACCAAAGAAAATTCCACAACAGTGGCTTAACCAATATTGAAATGTATTTCCTTTCCCCGTAAGTCTTGAGGCAGTTCAGGGCGGTATGGCACCTCAAAGGTTTCAGGGACCCAGGATCCTCCTCTCTTATGGCTCTGCTGTTTGTGAAATTCAACTCGAACTCGCAGAACGTCATTACACCTAGTTTAAGAAAAGGGAGAATATCTTTAGAATGTCTGGGAAGTCTAAGGATTCGAGTTTTGGGCAGAGCTGGTGGACGCAGCACTGTTGTTAAACTGTCTCTCTCTTTAGCCTGTTTCTCCTCTGTGTATGGGCTTCAGTGTCAAACCACATTCTCCACCTGATCTTCTGATCCAAAAGGAGAAGCACTCCTCCTGAAGTCCCAGAGTCCATATATCAAGTCTTGTAGAAGGAGTGATTGGCTTGGCTTAGGTCCCTTACTCCTGACTAGACCAATCACTGGGACTTGGGTTTGCAATGGTTGCTATGGTTGATCTTGCTGGGTTGCCTGTCTACTCTTGGAAGTAAGTGTGAAGGACACAGAGATTGGACAGTCCCATCAGGACCATGTGGACTATGGGAGGGGAAGTCTAATCCAACAGAGAAATGGGATACCCCAAAACTGTAAACATGTTCAATTCATCATGCTAAGGAGAGTGAATTTTGTCTTATAAGCAATGGGGAGCCCCTGGAAGATTTTGTCAGGATTTGGCTGGTTTGATTGGTCACAACATTTTAAAAGAAGGAAACTGAGACAGAGAACACAAGAGAGAAATCCAATGAATGCTGGGGTCGGGGACCATGGAAAGACTCTCTTTCATAGGGGGACGTGTTCTCCTCCCTTCGCGGATGGGGACTGATGGGGGAGAAGCAATGTCTGTTTTCAAAGAACACCTATTTCCGCTGGTGATGGAAGCTATCTGTCTGGGGAGTCCCAGACAAGAGGGAGAAATACATCACACTGTTCATTCATTCACTCATTGGTTCCTGTATCCACATGTCTAACATTCACTGAATACCTACCGTGTGTTGAGTTTTGTGGCTGGCAGGAGGCAGAGTGACTGATAATGATGAGAAATGTTTGATGAGCTTTTTCACAGTTTCAGGCACTGGGCTGAGGGCTTTATACACATTAGCTCATTTAATCCTCACGAGAACTCAGTGAGGTAGGTACAATTATTATCTCCACCCTGCAGAGGAGGAAAAATGAGGATGAAGGCAACATAATGAGTGTTCTCAAGGAACAGTCTACAGAGGGCGACAGACTGGAAGATAAATGATGACAATAGAGGGAGTTTAGTGTTTTGGGGGCACACAGGCAGGAGCCCCTCATAGCCTGGCCAATGGGAGGTGTTGTTGCGGAAAGTGTCTCATGAAGTTTGATATTTGAAATGAGCAGAGGATTAGGAGGACTGAGCCAGGCAGGAGTGAGCTGCAGGTAATGGTCTAGAGCGAGAGAAAGCAGTTTTGAGTGGAGTGCAGGGGTTGGAGGTGTGGCTGGACACAGAGGCAGGGGCCAGGCTGCCTGGTTATCTGTGCAGACAAACACAGGATTCCCTGAAAGCAAAGCAGCTGGGGGCAGCTATCACTGGGGGCTCATGCAAATTGCATGAGAATCATCCTCCTAACTTCTCCTTTAACTTTATAATTGCAAGCACCAGGAGGCCTCTTCCTGCTGCTCTGAGGTCTCAGCAGCACCCCTTGGGTGTGTATTAGCAGAGGTTTCTTAGCCTCTCTCCCCCTTCCCAGGGCAGAGGGCAGGGCGATATTTGCCTGAATTGAGGCTGTATCCAGCCCACCCACCTCCTGAGGCAAGACACTTAGCCAACCCCTGACATTTAGAGTCCTTCAAAGTAGCTTGATCTGGGCTGGGGTTGAGGAAAGGAAGAGTCTGACTTTCCAGGGCAGCTTTGCCCCCTCTTTCTTCCTTCCTGCCCCACCCTGGAGCGGTGACCCCCTCTACCCCATTCTCTCCTGTATTTCCCCTCTCCTTATGTCAACTCCCCCAACCAGGCCTCACCCCTCAAAATGAGCCCTTCCCCACATCCAGGTGAAATGGAGAGGGCTCTGGGCTTGGGAAATGAGAGGTTAGGGATCTAGTTCCGCCTTTGCTACCAATTTGCTGTGTGACCTTGGGCAAGTCAGCCTTCCCTCTGGGTTTCCCTCTCTGGTAAACGGACTTTTAAGACCTACAGTTCAATTTTGGGATAAATGACTTAAGTCTTTTATTTACTGGAGGGAAAGAAAAACAGCACACCCAGCATACAATGCAAAGGGTGGGTGGAGTGTATGGATTAATGGTCTTTTGGAGAACGGCGAGGCAGGAAGCAGGTCGGCTGTGCAGAGCAGGATGCAAGCGCTGTTGTCAAGGGTTCAGGCTTTCAGTTAGGAGGAGCTCAGAGCAGGAAGAGGGCAAGATGCTTTGGGCCCCTGAGAAGCCTTCTTTCTGGAGGAGGCGGGATCTCTGCAAGGATTTCAAGCATTAGTACAGGTTGGGAAAGGAAGCAAGCATGCGCGAAGAGTCCGGAGGTTATGAGTCTCTGGATGAGTTTGCCAAAGGGGTGGGGTGGAGAAAGGGCCCTCTGGTCCTAGACCTGGTCGTCCAGTTCCTGACTCTCTGCGTGGACGCGCCGCTCCTCCAGAGGTCGCTGTTCCCCAGGAATCGGTCACCGGGTCTACATGGCAAGGCCGAGACGCCCTCTGGTCCCCTCGCTCTGCTTCGGTGGGGCTTACGCGGCTCCGCATCCCAGAGGGGTCAGGCACCCGGCATCATTTCCCCAACCACGCAGGGGCTTACGGTTTCACCAGCAACCCTGCCTGGGGCTCCGAAAGGCTAAACGCGACGGCGCGCGCATGTGCGTGTTGCGCCGGTTACCGGGTTCGGACGGCTGGGCCCCTCCTCCCTTCCCTCCCGCCTTGCCCCACTTCAGGGCTGCGAAAGGGCGTCCGGGTCCCGAGGTCTTGCTGCTCCAGCGGGTGGCCTCCAGTTGGTGGGCAGGAGGCCGCCGCTACACTCTTCCCGGCTCTCCGCCGCGCCGTGCCCGTGCGCTCTCCTCTCTCTCCCCGCTCTCGTCCCAAACCCACACCCAGGCTTGCACCCTCACACATCCTCCTTCCCCGCCAGGGTCACGCTGCGGGCCTGGAGTGGGTTCGCAGTCCCAGCCACGTCGCGCCGCTTCCGGCGCTGGGGCAGAGCGGTGGGTTTGGCCGGCGAGGCTTCCAGGGCAGTCCCCGCACCTATCGTGCGTTTGGCAGGGGAGCACTCGGGACAGGCGCGGGTCGGACACATAGAGCCACCGGCGTCCGGAGGGGCACACGCACGCGGAGGGAGGAGAAACAGACCCTCGTTCGCAAAAACCCGGGACGCACTTAGACAGTAGGGGCACTCAGACCTGAGGCTGACGCTCCGACACACCTGGAAGCGTCCCCTCTCCCTTGCCCCCAGCTGTGCGTCTCCCCAGCGAGGGGAGCCTGTAGCACCGCGGTCGCTGCGAAGCCAGAGCCCCAGGTTGGGCGGCTGCGGAGCCGCGCTGTTTTCACCCTTGCCTGGGCCCGCAACCCTCTTCCCGCGAACCAGAGTAGACAGGCTCCGCAGCTCGTCCGGGTCTCAACCGCTGCTCGGTGCTGGGGCTCAAGGGAGCCCCCCCACTACGTAGTCCCAGGATAGGGGTGCCGGGAGGCGGCTGTGGCCAGGCATGGTGAAAGAAGAGAAAGACATTTCTTCTGAGAAGTGGGGGGTACGTGGAGGTGTGGGGAGCAGTTCAGAGGCGCTTGGGGGAGGGCGGGTGGTGGGCTGGGGCGAAGGCGCACAGGCGGGGAGCCCTGTCATTTCTCTTGCTTGCTGTGGGTCCGGCCTCTCTCTGAACTCTGACCCGGGGCCCTGCTCCTGTGTGTGGGGAGCCCCGCCGCCTGAGGTTCTTCCCCTCAGGTCTCCCGATCTGGAATCTCCCGCCTCCCGCCCGGGCCAAGGGAGCCGATCGCTCTGGAACAGGCGGAGATCTGGGTGAAGAAAAGGGTCCGGAGATGCCCCGGCTTCCGCCAAACAACTGTCTCCCCCATCCCCTACACCCGAGCTGCAGCCGATGGAGGAACGGGAAGAGGGGGCGGCTGCGCGGGTCTCGCAGCTTTCCCCGAGACTGGCAAGGTTTGTGAATAAAATCAGAGAAGTGTGCGGGCGTGGTGTCCCCCTGCCCGGCTGAGGCCGTACTGTGCTCGCAGAATTCATCCGGCGGGGAGGTCGCGCGTGAGGTCGGTCCGCTCCGCGTCCCACCTCCTGCTCGCTCAGCGCCGCTCTTCGCCATTGACTTCATTATATTCTCAAAACCATCTGATAGCTGTCGTTTTCCCTAAGTCGAGAACAGCACGTCTACTGCGACCATAAGAAGCCAAGGGAGGAGCCATAAAGGGAGGGACACCACTGATAGTCAGCAACACATCACAATAAACATGCAACAACTCCCTGGCTGTCCGGGCATTTTGGGGTGGACCCCCCTCCCAACAGGCGCCCCCAAAAGCCTCCTTCCAGTTGTTTCTTGGCTATGCGAAGGAGGTAGCGAAATAGTAAGGCAGAGGAAGGAGAAGGCCAGACCCTACTAGGGACACTGTAGCCAAGGCCCCCAGAGCCTGTTGCCTTCTGCTTCTTGGAAGCTTCGGGCATGGGCGCTGAAGCATAGATTTTCCTTGGAGGGAAGTGACAGAGTCACCCAGATAGCAAATGTGACCGGAAGGTTTGGAAGAGGCTGAGCCCACAGGTGGGAAAGGCTGGTGCCAGCGGAGAAGTGCAGAAAACGAAATAAATTCCCAAGGTCCCCCTCGACCTTCTCCCAGCCCCCAGTTCACCTACTCCTGGCATTGTTCAAGACAAACTGGCCCTTCTAGATTTACACTAAAACCTTGGGAGGGATGAGAGGTTCCTAGAAACACCTCTCCCGAGCTTGGTGAGGGGCTAAGCAGAGTTATTTGGATAAGTAAAGGAGTTCTGGCCTCTGAGTCTTGACACCTGGGTCCAACCCAACCCTGGGAGTAGCGTGGGGGGCTTCAAGAGCCTGGCCAAGTCACATGATTTCCAGAGCCTGTTTGCACTCCTGTAAAAGTGTGTGTTTGAAGGGTCCAAGGATTCCTTAAGATCATGTCCCACCCCCACACTGCAGAACAGGGACTAAGGGCCTGTATCCCTTCCCCCCAACCTGGGCCTCAGCAAGCAGCGAGTGTGCAGCAGAACCAGGCAGAGGCAAGAGCCCACAGCCACAGCGGCTCTGTAGAGTCTTGCCTGGACCTTCAGAACCCAGGAGATGTGGGCAGCAAATGTCTCAGCCAGCCTGACCCTGAAGCTGGGCAGGAGGCCGGAGCCTGGGGAGCCAGAAAGTGCTGGCAAGGGGGGAAGGGACTGGCGAATGCCTGCCATTTTAGAAATGAAGACATTCAGAAGGTGAGGTGTAGTAAGCTGAGGCCAATGTTGATTTTCCTCTCCATTTTCTTAGATACTAGCAGGGCAGAGCCGGGCTGGAGCTGATATGCCGTAGACAGTGTGGGCTACCTGTGAGTACCAGAGAGAGCTCCACGAAGTAATACACAAGCTTGGGGTAGGTGTAGGGTTGCCAGATAAAATAAATCTGCTAAATCTAGCAACCTTAGATATGTGAGTTTATTTGGACTCATGCAAAAAACTTCTTTCCAACCCTCGCCCCCCACCTTTTTCTCTGGAGGGCCTTATCACCTAGAAAAGGGCCACTACCCCTGCCCAATTGCTTGTCCATGGTTTGAGGACTGGACCTCTTCTCATCTTCCTGAGGACAGGAAGGAGGTAGCGAAGGAGGTAGCGAAAGGGCTGCTCCCCCTTTCTGGCAGGACTTGTAGGCTCTATGGACCGGCCACAGTCTGCATAAACTGTGCAGACTGCATACCAGGTGGATTTATGCAGACCCTGCATACCAGGTGGATTTATGCAGACCCTGCATACCAGGTGGATCCCCTTGGTCTGAGGAGTGTGTGTAGGGGGAACAGAGGACTTTCTCCCCCAGGACAGGGGCAGTCAGACTTGCTTCCACTCTCCTCTGCTCTTAGCCAGATGGCTTGAGAGGATGGAGACCTCCATCATGAAGATTAAGTGACAAGCACCTGGCCCTGCTCTATCTTATAGGAGCCTAGGTGAGTCTCTTCCCCTCTCTGGGCCTCTGGTTGCCCCACCCCACCTCCCTCTGGGCCTCTGGTTGTGGAATGGGAAATTTAGATTTACACTAGATTATTCCATAGGCTGGAAACTGTTAGATGAAAGAATGTATCCACCCTCACAACAATCCTGCTGAACTACAGCTTGCAGGGGCCTGGCGATCCCTCACACCCTGCTTCCAGCACTTATCTATAGGGGATCTGATTCAGCATAGTGACCAGAGAGGGTTAGATAACCCAGTTACCCCGGTACGGGTAACCCAGTGGAGGGCTAGACCATAGCTTGAGATCCAGGTGGGAGACTACACCCCCACCTGCTTTCTCTCTCCCCAAGAGTCTGCAAAGTGCTCTCAATATCCTCTTCATAAGTAGCCTAGAGTGATATAGTTACTTTTAGGTATTAGTCATGAGGTAGGTGCGCTTTTAAATCTCATTTTTACAGAGGAAGAAACAGAAGCAAAAAGTTTAAGAAATGTATCCAAGATGACAGAGCTCGTAAATAAGCAAGCCAGGACCAGAATCCCAGCAGCCTAATTTCAGGGTTCCTGCTCTTAACTACTAGGCAAAGCAGGAAACTGAGGCTGGGTAGGGAAAGTACCTTGCTGACTGTCATACAGCCTTGCGACAGCTGAGGGCAGCTGGGTCTCCGGCCTCGCCTCCTCGCCTGCCGGAGATCTGACCACTGCGCGGCGCTGGCGGGGCAGCAGCCCGTCTATCAGCTCAGTTCTTGCCCACCACCAGCGCCTACCACCCCTGTCACCGCTCAGGGTTGAGATGGGCCCAGTCTACTGGTGGCTAGGTTCCTGGCCAGGGGAGAAAGGAGGCTAATGGGCTGGGCAGAAACCCGGCTCGTAAGAAGAAGGGCACAGGACCAACCTTGTGTGCACGGGCTCCTGAGAGACGAGACAACGCGGGCCTGGGGCTGAGGTCAGGGTTCACTGAGGAAGGTGTCTGTCGGGGTCCTGTGGCCGGTCCGTAGAGCCTACAAGTCCGGCCAGAAAGGGGGGAGCAGCCCTGCAGTGCGACTGGGGGTGGGGAAATGGAGCGAGGGATTCTCGGACCCACGAAGAGACACCCAGACAAATGCAGGGTTTCCACAGGAAACAAGGCAGAGATTCACCGAAGGCGAGAGACACAGAGTCACAGAGCCCAAGACAAACGGATACCCGGACCGAAAAGGGCAGGGTGCAGGCAAACTCAGAGCGATGGGTTGGTCCGCGCTCCCGGAATGCGGCCGAAGCGCCGCACAGAAGCTTCGGGGAGAGGGCGACGGACAGGCGACGCGCTCCCCGGGTCTCCCCGCACACACTTCTGCGTCCGGGGTCCCGCGCCGCGGCAAAAGGATGTGTGGCGGGGTCTCGGCTTTGGAAGGGAGGAGAGGGGCGCAGCCGGAATCTCTCACCTCTCCGAGGCCCGAGGCTGAGAGCGCCAAGTTTGCTCCTCGCGGTCACTCAAGTGCGTCTCCCCTTGGGCCGGAAGCCGCTTGGGATCCGGCGGGCCCAGCTCGGGCGGCTTAGGTCGGGCCGTCTCAGGCTCCCGCTCGAGCTCCAACTGCGCTTCGGCCTTGGTGGCCCAGGGCGCTGCCTTGGGTAGATGAAGGGTGGGGGCTGTCGCTACTTCTCCCGGCTCCATTTGGCACCCGCGTGGACCTTAACATCCAGGGGCTGAGCGCACTGGCTCCAGGCGGCGGCTCCGGGGAGCGGAGCGTTTGCGGGATCTGCGGGCATTGGAGGACCCGCCTCCAGCCACCCGAGCCAGCTCCCGCCGCGGCGGCTGTTTGTTCCCGCCGGGCCCCTCCGCCGAGGCAGTCCGCCCGCCCCCTCCCGCCCCGCCCCACCCCGCTCGGGGAGCTCCGCCCCGGGTTCGCGCTCTTCCGCCTTAGGCAGCCGCGAGGCGGGAGGGACTAATTCCCCTACCCCCCATCCCGGGGGCACTGGGGGCCGACACCGGCCAGGGTCAGGGGCAGCCTCAGCTCCTTCCGCCCACGCCCCGGGTGCAGGCGCCAGGCTCCGGCTCCCGGGGCGGCGGATACAGCAGCCAGTCGGGTGCTCACCGAGAGGTGAGAGCGGCGAGTTGGGCCACAAGGGGTCGCTGCGGAGCTGGGGGGACACCCCTCCCTCCCCGCTTCAGTCCCCCGCCCCCTCCCCGCCCGCGCGCAAAACACACTCGCCCCAGAGGCAGCGCGGCGGAGCCGGAGCCGCGGCCGGAGCGGAGCCGGAGAACGGCGGTGGCGGCGGCGGCACCATGACCCTGGGCAGCTGCTGCTGCGAGATCATGTCCTCCGAGAGCTCCCCGGCCGCGCTGTCCGAGGCCGACGCAGACATAGACGTGGTGGGCGGCGGCGGCGGCAGCGGTGGGGGGGAGCTCCCTGCCCGCTCCGGGCCCCGCGCCCCCCGGGACGTGCTCCCCCACGGCCCTGAGCCTCCTCCGGAGGAAACCGAGGCGGACGCAGCCGAGGACGAGGAGGAGTCCGGCGGCTGCTCGGAC